TTTATAGAGGCTGGTGGTTATGATGCTGTGTAGAGGGCTGAGTTTTATAAAGGCCGGAGGGAGTGATATGACTAATAGTTGGCTTTGCTGAGAGGGAAAAGGAGAGGGGGAGAGATTAGTGGAGGAGAGGATTAACAGGAAGTCTACAAAATAATGCAAAGAGCAAAACAAAGCAGGAAGACATAGATACGATGATGGAAGTAGGTTTGTAAAAAAAAAAAAAAAAATGAAGTGAAGAATAGGTAGCTGAGGACAGAGTGGAGTGCAGCGGAGAAAATAAAGGCAGTTAGAGCGAAAAGGGAATGTCTGGCTATGGGAGTTTGCCACTAGAGATAATAGTGTGTGTGTGTGTGTGTGTGTGTGTGTGTGTGTGTGTGTGTGTGTGTGAGAGAGAGAGAGAGAGAGAGAGACAGAGAGAGAGAGAGAGAGAGAGACAGAGAGAGAGAGAGAGAGAGAGAGAGAGAGAGAGAGAGAGAGAACCGGTGGCTTTTTACAGACACACTGAGAGCAGAGATTGTGGGAGGGAGAGGGAGAGAGAGGCCAGCACAGCTGAGTGGTGTTGATTGGCCTGTTTGAAAACACATGAACTGCAGACAGAGGGAGAGAGAGGGAGAGAGAGAGGAAGAAAAGCTCTGTGCACTGGGAGAAAGTGTCGCTCTGTGCCGTGCCACGCTGCAGCCCAAACCACATTAGAGCAAATGAATCCATTCCACCTCCTGTTATGGCAGCTCCCGCACGGGGCCCCAGGAAGGAGGAGGGAGGGGAGGGGAGGGGAGGGAGGAAGAGTGGCAGGAGGGTTGAGATATGAGGGACGGAGAGAAGAAAATGATAGAACAGAAAATGGAAGGTGGTGGAAAGGAGCTGCATGCTGGGTGGCTCTAATGATGTCTGAGGGCTATAGAAAAGGGGAGCAAAAAGAACATAGCAGTGAGAGAAAGAAAAAGCTGTAGCCATAGAACTGAAGACGAGGAGGAGGAGAGAAGATCCCCCACTGTGTCCGGCGAACAGGAGCAATGCTTCTGTTATCCTTTTTCAGACTGTTGCTGAATAATAAAGGTCCTCTCTGGCCCGACTTCACCTGGTTGCTCCTTCAAATTGGCCATCATTGCCCTCTACGCGTTTCACACAGGATAGGCTCAGCATTCTGCGATCGAGCATCACCACCAAAGACGCTATTTTTCCATAGCATTGCATGAAAACCCATAATTATTGAAAAAATGGAATCATTTATGCACAGGTGATGTCATCGCTTCTCCACTTACAGCAGGATCATTTTCTGATGACATGGTGACATCATTTCATCAGCTCTCAAATTTCTGTTGGTCGGATAAATAATTCTGAGCTAGATACAATTAAAAACCAACAAAACTTAATTAACGAAGTTTAGTTTTAACACCTATGAAGAGCTTGTCCTTATCTATGAACATTTTCATGCATCTGCTGGTTTACATTCCTCTGTCAACAGGACAAGAACCGACTACAAGCACTAAAATGACACGAATATTCCTTGCACAGCCTAATACTGAAGAAACGCAGTCTGCAGTTATCGGCATGTCCTCTCTGACTACTTTAAGCTGTTTCCATCAGGAATGTCTTTAATTTTGCCTCTGTGTAAAAACAAATGGAGGGAAGTTTGGTTTTGCTCCAGAAGCCTTCAGACCTTTAGCCACAGTAGTTCACCTTGTGTATTCATGCACTCTGTGACACAGTGTGCGTTCATGGTGCTGGGTGTTGTTGCTCAGCTATGGATTGGCCACTCTCCTTAACTCTTGCGTACTTTTTTTTTTTTAAACACAATCTTATTTGTATTTTTAGATTGTTTTATGTGTGTAAACTTTGCTCAAATTGCTCCTTAAGGGACAAATAAAGTATTTTGAATTGAATTAAATTAGGCTGACTTTTGCATATATTATCATTTTCCCTGGTAACACAGATATATAAATATTGATATCAGGAAATACCCTCTCTAACATGATGATGCTGCTTCCAGCCATACCCGCCAGACCTGCTCCTAATGCAGTCATATACAATACACAGTACTGGAGTGTATCATGAGCGCCTATGTCTCTGCTTCCATTCAACCCCCCACCGACTGATCACATTCACAAAGCAAGCTGCACTTGACAAAGGTGGTAGTCATTTGTCTGAAATTAGAAATCACTCATGCTATGAGTGATCATACGCTACGTGTGTGTGCATGAATAAGTGGGTGTGTGTGTGTGTGCTGCTGCTGATAATGAAGAGATAATTTCAACACTCTCTCTTTTTCTTTCTCTCTGTCTCCTTTCCCCCACTGAGGCTGGCCCTTCTTGCCCCCTTCCTGCCATACTCCACTGCTTTTCATATTACTGTGCTTTTGTTTCTGAGCACTTATTTCTTGCCCCACTTCCCCTAGCTTGTTTTGCTCAGGAAAGTGATAAGGAGGGGAAAAAACCTAAAAGTGAGAGAGATTTTGTGTGTGCGTGTGTGCGTGTGTTTGTGTGTGTGTGTGAGAGAGAGTGAGAGAAAGAGACAGAAGCTTCATTGGATGTTAGTATTATTTGTGGTTTGCTACTCTTCTGTGATTCATAGCAGCGTCCTCCCACTGCTGTTAAAAGGGAGGTTGTAATATGCACAGCATAATTGGATGTGTAATCCTTTGCTTTGCACCTCTGGTTAGCAGTGCTGAGTGGAGCTGATTAAGATGTTTGGAAGACAATAAAGATTAAGCAGGCCCATTCTCTGTGTGTACATGCTCGAACAAAAACAGCACTAGCCCAAAAACTCTGAAACAGAAAATGGAAAGATGGGGAAGAGAAGAAAAAATCTCACACTGCTGCCAAGTTTTTGTTTAGTTTTTTTTCAGTGCGGCTGTAATCAGTGAATATGTGGAGAAGTGAAGGCAGAGATGTCAACATTCAACTTGTTTCTCTTCCTATGTTGAGATGACAGATTAGCGTGTTTTGTTTTGATAGCAAACAGGGGTGAGGATGTGGGGCAAGAGGAGGGCTTCTGCCATGTTTCCACCGAGGCCTGGTCTGTTATGCAACACATTTTTCCCCTGAACAGTGGGAGGGGGTGTGGTCCTGGAGCTTCAGTCAGTCAGTCAGTCAGTCAGTCAGTCAGTCAGTCAGTCAGTCAGTCAGTCAGTCAGGTGGACTGACTTCTTATCTCAGTTACAACTCAGTTGAACATGGCCTGGTCAGCCAGTCGCATTTCCACCTCACTCATTTTCCTTTCAGAACCTGAGGGCCCATCTTTTCATCAACTAACAAAAGCGCTGCCCGTTCGTCGGAGGCGGAGGAGGGGTGTGCGTGTGCGTGTGCGTTGGACTTTGTGAAAGCACAACAGAGCGAAGGAGGGAAAAAAAGAAGAAGAGATTCTTGGGTAAAAGAGGCAGCTATCTCCTCCCTCCTCCGTGGTCTTGGCTACGGGTGTGTTGGGACAGCAGGAAGGGGAGCTGGAGGAGAAACGTTAATCAATAGCCACAAGGTCAGACGGCCAGCGCTGGGCTGGAGCGTGCCCTGTTAGCGGGCCGTGGAGCTGCCTGGCTGCTGAAGGGGATTTGTAGCACTTGTCAGGGCTTAAAGGAGCCCTCTCTGGACCACTTGCTCCGGGTGTAGTGTGTGAAAGACGCATGCTGGTTAGCAGCAGGAGAGGGAGACATCTGCTGGATGCTGCGAGACACCACAGCACAGCAGAATTAGGCCACCCAAAGTTATATGGTCACATTATGTGCAGTCAAAGTGGCTTTGTGCCCTGCAGGAAGTAAAGTTAGCTGTTTTGTAGGGACTTTTCACAGCAACCGCTGCAGCATCATGTCCGTGTAATCTGACAAGAGGCATTTGGCTGCCCACCATTTGACCACATTTGCACCAGAATTCCTCCTTACTCATGCGCGCAATGTATCCACTGATGTTAAAGTCTTTGTAAGTGCACTCCAGGTAATTCTACTCTGGTAATGCTTAAGCTCAGAGGATTAGTAATACACTCTTATTCTCAAAATGTTCCTTTGAAGTTTTACCTTTATGCTTAATCAAAGTGAAGAATTCAGGCTTTTGTGTTTACATGCGGTTTTGTGTGTGTGTGTGTGTGTGTGTGTGTGTGTGTGTGTGTGTGTGTAGGAGAGAAAGAGACAGAAAAAGAGTGTGCATATTTGCAATACTCTTTCTATGATAAGCACACCAGACTGAGCATTACACATGAAAACTCCCTGGCTGTGCACTATGCTTCCATCGTATTCGTTCTCTCGCTCTGTTTCTCACAGCAGGGGATCTTGGGGGACCCTTTATCAGTACTGAGCAGCTTTCTAGAGCCCTGCCCCCCCTGCTCCCACCTGTGGTTTCTCAGTTTGCCTTTTGTGTGGAGGAATCTGAGGCAGACCAACACTGATGGAGATGAACACAGAGGGATGGTGAGGGACGGAGGCCTCGCTGGCAAACCAGCACGATACCTATTAATCCAGCCCCAATCCATTTCTCTGAGATGGTCAGAATAGCGAGCGTGGGGCTGAAATTGTTCTTGTTGTTGCTGCTCGCTGTCGGACCAGAAGGAGATATACACAGAAAGAAAAGAGCTGCGATAAAGCCGAGTCTTATCAGGTGTGAGATGTGGGCATAAATTAGTCGTCTATGCCACACTGATAACCTTGACGTGAGGTGTGCTTCCTCTAAAGACAGATAACAGTTGAAGTCCTTTCTCGGCCGCAGCAGGCATTAGATTTTTCTCCCATAAGTGATGTAAGGCAAATAAAGTTTCAGTTGCATCATGTTTCCATTTATCGTTAAAAGTGCTGCCGTGGAAAATCTCAGTTTCGTGCAGTTGCCAGAAAAAATGTGCTTAAGGCAGATCAAACCCTTCGATGAGTCAGTGCATAAACAAGCTGGCTTTCCCTTTTCTGAGAATTTGTCAAGCTGCTAAAATGCTGTTTGAACTTCATAGGCTACAAAGTCTTCACACGTGTGACCTGACAGAAACCTGCTCTAACAGATGTACCTCTCCTCCTCCTCCTTCTTTTACAGGGTAAAGAACTTTTAATGGCGTCCCGGTAGAGGCATCAAGATGAACCCGTTACCATCAATGGACCGGCACATCCAGCAGACCAATGACAGGCTGCAGTGCATCAAACAGGTGTGTATAAAGAGCTGTTTTTCAGCAGCTTTTCAGTCCTATTTTAACTTCTGTCAGCACTATGAAGACATGGATTCTAGAAGTTTAAGAAGAATCTGCATTTCCTTTTTCTTTCTTGCGCTCCTTTCTCCCCTCATCACCTTATATGGGCATCAGTTTTTCTGGCCATTAGCTCCAGTCACACAGATCATGTTGCACAGGGTCAGAGAGAGAGAGAGAGAGAGAGAGAGAGAGAGAGAGAGAGAGAGAAAATCTGGCAGTGAACACAAGAAGAGACTTCAAAGAGACTAGCAACATAACAGACGCCACTCCCCCCCCCCCCCGTCCTCCTGGTCCTGTGTTCCCTTACATCACGTTCGTGACTCTTGACGTATGCCGGCCCTTGTTGTGGTTTTTTCTTAAATGCTTCCTTGACTGCCAGCTTTCAGGAGACTCCTCTCAGACAGATACAGACTGAAAGACACAGTCAGACAGACAGAGAGACATAACCCAGGGCTACCGCCTCTGCCTGTGATTAATAGTCGACAAAAACTCGCTGGCTGGCTGGCTGGCTGGTTGGCTGGTTGGCTGGCTGTGGGCTTATTTGTTTATGCTATGTGGGTGTGATCCTTTATATCTCCCAACATCCATATGACACCATGCCTTCCAGTGAATCAGTGAATGATAGGGCTTTGAGCTTGCGATTATGAGGTGACATATCCCTTTTCTTTGTGCCGTCTCTTAAACCCCCACCCCACTCCACTCCCACCTAAACTTCTAAGCACCCACTATTATAACCTTTATCTAAATAGGCTCTCACTGCCTCAGTTATTTTACTTTGATTGCATATAGCAATGTGCTTGACGTCAAAATCTTGGATAGCTTTTTTTCCAAAATGCCAGCTTTTTCTCGCATGAGTGAAATTATACTACTGGAATTGGCGCTACTCACTTCCCAAAGCCTCCACAATTACTTTCTTAGGCGTCACTGATAAGCCCTAAACAGCCTGAGTTAACACATCGAGCTTAATAAATTCACTAATTGTAGTTTGGTTTATATACTTCTCAGCTCTGGCTGTAATAGAGCTCGTAGTAAACCAGACTTCAAAGGCACAGAGTTAGTCAGTGAGCTCTGAGCTTGTGGTCGCTCTGCCAGCAGGGTGTTGTTTTGGTTTGGGGAAAGCCGCTGGCAGAGAGCCAGGTGATATGCTGTTTTTCATACAGCCAGGTAGGCGCTGAGCAGCCTGATCCTTGGCTGGTCAGAAACGTGGGGGTAAGTCAGTCCATCATCTAGCAGAAGATAGTCTGTCAAACGTCTGGCTCTTTGTCTGCTGAAACTCCATCACTGCTGCTGCTGTTGCTGTTGCTGCAGCCCCCCCCCCCTTCCCCCCCACCTCTCTCTCTCTCTCTCTCCCCATTTTTGTCCTCATCCAACCCTGAACAGCAACAACAACAAGAACAGCTCAAGCCCCATCCTCCTCCCGAAACTCAACGGAGCTGTTTCACTCTGCTGTCCTCCCCCTCACACCAGAGTCGAGGTTGTCAGGCAGAGTCGGTGGCGAGCGCTGCAGCAGGAGGAGCCGTGACTACAGATCTAGACAGACAGCCCCTGCTGTGCTAGTTCTGATTCCTCACGCGCTGGAGGCTGATACGCCTCCCATCAAGCAGCAATAATGCCAGATTATATCACTCATCTAGAACAGGCTCTTCTCCTCCCTCTCACTCAACAAGAGCATCTCTCACTTTTCCCTCATTCTCCCCGCTTCTCTTCATCATCAGTCAAACCGCTGTAAGAGTCCGCAGCTAACTCTATAATGGCTAATCTTCACATCACAAAAGATGAGTCACTCAAGGCCTCTCTTCAAGCTCATGATATCATTGGAAGCTCTCGGAGATTTTCTCTGTGGGCGGGTTCCAGGCCTGACATGTAAGACTGCGTTCGCACCGAAGAGCCCTTTTGTCGCACACCACCGAAAAGCTGCCCTTTCAAAAACGCTCACCTCTGCTGCCCCCTAAAGACAATAGCTCTACCTTCTCTGCAAGAACACACAAAACAAGATGCTTCAGCTCCAGATGAGAATAATAAATGCTTTCAAGTGGGCTCAATCTCGCCGACTGAACAAGCTGTAGCTCTGCGCCATTTCAGAGCCATTAACCTCCTGAGCTGTGAAGAAAGGGAGCCCAATTTTAAAACCGCTTATTGTGTCCTGCCAGCTTGAGTAGCCTTCAGACACTGGGAAGAAAAGACTCAACTGTTTCAGGCCTCAGTGAACAAGCGAGAGAGACAGACAGAGACTGAAAGAGATTAGACAACACACCAACGGCGCGTATTGAATCTGCACACATAGCTGCCAGGACCAAGGTTGTTTTCTTTGTGCGCAGCCAAGCCAGCCAGTGGACTTCTGGTGCTGAGGCTCTGTTACATTCTGAAAACAGGCAATGAATGAGGGGAAGAGAGAGAAGGAGGATTGGAGGGAAAGATTTGGTTGCTGTGTGGGTCATGGGGGTGAGAGCCGGGTGTTGCCAAGAGAGATTAACAAGAAACACTGGCATCATTGTTGATATGGGTGTGATCTTCTTCCCACAATGCACCAGAGCTCTGAGTGGGCGTACATTGGAAGGAGTCAAGGTCCTCACAGGGTTGTGCAGAAACACAAGACATTAAATCAAGGCAGTTTGGTGGGAGAGCGCAAGGCTGCAAAACTATTTGGTTTCAGTGTTTTTCCAATTTGTACTTAATGTGAAAAAAATAACGCTCATTATTTCCCATTGTTTCTAATGGCAGTCTCTTTTCTCTGTGTTTGCACAGCACTTACAGAACCCAGCCAACTTCCACTCAGCAGCCACAGAGCTGCTCGACTGGTGTGGAGATCCCCGGGCCTTCCAGCGACCTTTCGAGCAAAGTCTCATGGGATGTCTGACGGTACGCAAACACTAATTATGGTTTTCGTTGGATTTTTCAGGTACTTTTTAGGAGACACAAGCAAAACAGTAATTAGATTTTGGATACTTTTGAAAACATGGAGAGAAAAAAAAAAGATGGATGTGTCCACTTTTAGCTGAAGCTTTTAGCCTAGTTTTAAGGTGCTGCAAGTTAACCCAGACTGTGCAATGGCTGAAACAAGATTCATATGATATTCGTATTCAAATTTGATATTGTGGCGTACCTTTTTCCCCCTACAAATCTCAGTAAAAACAGTTAGTAGCTGGCTATAGTCGCACCAGGTCTGTGTCCAGCAGTTATCCAAGGCAGCTGCTCAGGCCGTCAGGGGCCAGCGACAGAGGTTAAAGTCCTTGTCAGAGACTGCTTCACTCCACTTTGTGCTCTTCAGACACACACACACACACACACACACACACACATGCGCGCACATACACACACGCTAAAAAGAGGCTTGCACAAGACTGTGAGTAGCCAGTCACCTCTGGCTAACGCCTTTCAGTACCACTCATCGATCTGGACACAGGGCCAGAGAGCTGGCCTGCACCAGGTGTGTGAAAAACACACACACACGCACACACTCACACACACACATGCACCCACGCGCACACTTATATACACAGTCACATGTTTGGAAGAGGCTTTAGAGCAGAGAATTGCAAGTTTCACATGTTTATCGCTCAGATCAGTCTTTGAAACACTGAAGCGACATTGTCCCCAGCTGAGGTGGTAGCGTGAGCAAACAGATAAATGCTCATTAATGTGTAAATCACAATAAAAGCCTCTTAAAGGCTGATAAAGAGCTATACAATGGAGCCCACCACTGAGATCCCTCTCAGCATGGGGCTGCTTCCATCAGCTAAATTGTTTCATCAGACTCGCAGAGCAAACAGCTTCTTATCTGGAGAATTACAGCGTGCAACAAGTCCATGCATTCTTGCGAGGATTTTGTCCTTGTGATGTTACCTCTCTGGTTATGTACCAGAGCGCTCAATTGAAATTTAAAGATGACTGTGCATCTCTTTGAGTCATAGTCCCGTGATATTTGTCATAGCTGAATGAAACTAAATGTATGCCTCATCTGGAGAGAGATGTCTGTTCCCTCTAGCTTGTTGTGCATGTGGAGGTCATCCTCCGCTCCCTGATGGAGTATCTGCTCCAGAGCTAATAAAAGATGACATAACTGTCAGTGCTGCGCTATTAGCTCTGTCTGCTTGACAATCTGTGTTTTTTTTGTTTTTTTTTCTCTGTTTCTTTATGCATAGTGTATCAAGAGTGTGGGCGATGTCAGTGCATGCAGACAACTGCATTATGTCTGTCCCACAGTTTTCTAAAATTACCCACTTAACTCACCAGGAGCTGTCTCTCACGTGCAACTGTTTCAACAACAAGCAGAAATAAACTACAAAACAAATGCTTTGTTTTTCGCCGGCAAATAGATAAACAAGCGTATGAATGGCCCAGTAACCCTCCAGCACCTCTTACAGCGCTACAGCTGACAGGAATATGGGCCTGGATGTACATCCTCAAAGGGAGATTAAGCTGAAAAAGGCTTATGAGGTGAAACACTGTTAAATCCATGTTGAATCTATGCTAGCCTCTGTAGCTGGCTGTGTGCCTTGTACAAACTGTAGGGCAGACTCAGTCACGCAGGAAATTAAACGATTGACAACAGCGTGATTCGCTGCAAACAATGTCAGAACCGCCATTGTTTGCATCATATGGTTGGGTTGAATAGATTATGTTATGAAGTATTTATCCCTGGGATGACATCCTTGTATCCTCTGAACAGTTTCGAATAAAAGAATTACGTGATTTACTGGAACTGCAGAATTGAATATCATCGTCTCTTGATTATAACAATCAAATAAGCCCTATTTATTGACGTAATCTCTATAGCTTTTCACTCAGTGCTCAAGCAGCCATATTACCTACTTTATGATCACTGCTGGCTGTTATGCTGGTTCTCTAAAAGGCACCCCAGCTGACCTTGTTAACGGTAATGTGTGTTTTGAGGTCAGGGGGAGCGGAGGAGTTGTCATCTGTGAGCAGATAAAAGCGAAGGGCTTTCCCTCCTAATAATGATTTACCCCCGTCTCCCGAGTCCTGTTTAACATTACTCAGTATCCCCTTTAACATTATATTAGGGTCCGGGAGGCTCCTGCTTCATGTCCCATAAATGCTCAACCTCTTTTTGAAGTCATTAACACAAAAGGATCATTAAAGTCCTACAGCCGGGGACTGGTCCTTCTCAAAAATGGAACGCAAAGGAGGTTTTCTAACCTTTGTTCACCCAGGGAACACTTGATGCTGAAACATACTTTACTTACTCTTTTTGTACTCTGCCTTCCTAAACACTCACTTAGTCGCTGGTCAGTTCGGCTGACCTGGCAACCTTTGGTTCAGGGGACAAACTCTGTTCACATTGGGGCCAGAACGGGCTTGCTTGAGGATAACCTTTGAGAGACTCCGCTCGTTCTGCAGAGCGACTGTGGTTTGGCTCTCTCACCTCTCTTGGAGGTTGATGCAGTCATCAGAGTCGTCCTGACTGTGGATCACTGGAGCAATCCAGACTGCAGACTCCACATTAATCTCACTGTGTCTGTCTGTGTGTGAGTGTGTGCGTGTGTGAGTGTGTGAGTGAGCGCAAGTGTTTATAGTCTGTGTTTCTGTCTGAAGATAAATGAAGTGGTGCTCAGAATATTAACACAATTAACAAAGTGAAAGGATTATGATGCATTAACTATGACTTAGTGTTTATTTAGTGTTTGATATAAGAGATCAATATTTTATGGTGTTGCATAAGAAAGCACTGTTTACCCAGGTTATTATAGAAAGATAGACAGACAGAGCTGCTGAAGTGAGTAGTTTGTCGATTTGTCGATCGATAGAAAATTAATTGGCAAGTATTGGTACACAAATGTTTAGTACTTTCAGTCATTTTTAGAGAAAAAAATATCAGATATTCTCACGTTTTTTACATTTGATCTTCTGTTTTGTTTTTTGTTTTTTTTTTGTCATATATGACAGTAAACTGAGAACAGCATATTTGCGGTTTAGACTGTTGGTTGGACAGAACATGAACCTGTGGACAAAATCATTAATCAATTAATCAAGAGAAGCAGATCAATTCATAATGAAGATAATAGTTAGTTGTAGATAGTACGTTCATTTCTCATTATATGCTGAATGATGTGAATCCACTGAAGATATTCTTTGGTAATTGATCGCTGTCCTCATCCCTCCGCCTCTCTCTTAACTTCAGAATGAGCTGCATCTGCTTTTACCTGGTGCTTATGATGATGTAATTAAAATGATGCAATGATGCTGAACTTATTAGATGCCTGAAGGACAGCAGCTATTCTCATGATCCACTGTTCTTTCCCCAGGTGGTGAGTCGCGTCGCTGCTCAGCAGGGGTTTGACTTGGACCTGGGCTACAGGTTGCTGGCTGTGTGCGCCGCCAACAGGGACAAATTCACACCCAAATCTGCAGGTCAGACCCACCGTTCTACTAAAACGCCAGCACGTGCATGCTCATGCGTCATCCCATTTACTGCTGTCTACTTGCAAGACAGTGGGCGATACGCCAAGCCCATTGTTTGCTCACGCTGCATTTATTCATTTTTTTCATGAATGAAACAATTAAAACAAATCGCTGTATGTCTTAAAGTCATGATCAAGTCAGGGAAGTGTACCATGCCATTACTCCGCTCCGGACATGACTGCACAATGAAGCTGCTTATTATGTTTTGAGCACTATTAGGATGTTTTGTTCGCAAGACAGAGAATCTCATAATGATACCAACAGACAGTTTAATTTGCAGATTATTTTTGTTCCTTTCAGCACTTAAAGACAAATAAAAGTGTCTGTTAAAGTCCTCATGAATCTGTGGCTTGGACATTTTTGATTTCTACAAACGACTGCGACCACAGACATCACACAGAAAGCCCATAGAGCATTATAATGTCAGATATTTTTAGTCCCCATTAAACATTAATGTGCTATTGAGATGAGCTGTCCGGGTGGTAGCCTCACAAAAACAGTCTACTCAACAGTCTGTCCGCACAAACCCACACTCGCATGTGCAGTCTGCGTGCACGCACACACACGTGAAGCGAGGGAGAGAAAGAGCAAGCAGTAATGCTATCCTCAGACATTTATCTATCAAATCCAATTTCCCCCCAATCCATACCTCCCCTCCCCGCCTCACACAGTCCTGCAGGAGCGGCCTGTTCTTGTACATTTGTCAAAGTGAAACGCGCAGAGGCGGCAGAGAGGAGAGAGAAAGAGATGGATGGCTAGAGAGGTGTTGCTGATGCGTGCTGGACCACTCACTCTGCCTGACAAAGACCTGACAAAGCCGTAGCCATCCAGTCAAAACACAGATAAACCTTTGTTTGGCAGTTCCATAAGTAGGGGTAGTGAGAGTCAAATATTTTGATTAAACTGTCTGATTTCTTTGTTTTTTCTGACAAGGCAAACACGTCGCTGTTTCCTAACAGGAAGTGCAGTGACAGTACTGACAGTAACATTTTGAAATGTTATCCCATAATTTCTCGTATGAGCTGCAATGTGTTGCAACTGAAAATGCAGAAGGAAGACATGTACGACTCTCTGCCGTTTTTGTGCTCACATGACTCTATGATATGAACATTTGCTCAAGCTGAATATCCTCTTTCAGTTGTGGTGGGAAGTGTCTTGTTGGGAGGAACTTAAGTGGGCAGACAGACGTCAGTGTACAGTATTGATTGTTGTATTTCTCTCTCTGTCTGTGTTCCTGTGTTGGGATAATGTGATTGTTGTCCAGGCATGGCTCGGACTGGCTGCCTGTCTGGGCCCAGCTGACAGTCAGAATCATCCTCAGGCCTTCTGATGGTTCTGGGATCTAATAGAAGACAGAACTGGGTTTCAGGAAGAGCTGTTTATACACCGCGGACAAATGGGAACTGTGGTGTAATTATGCGCAATGGGGGGTGGGGGTGGGTGGGGGGGGATACGATGCAGACAGTCATCAAATGAGCCAGGCAAGCAGGCAGGCTGTCGGGGTGGGAGGCAGATGTGACTCAGGTCAGGTCTTACTCACTGAGCATCCGTCTTACCTCCCTTACAAGGACGTCTGTCTGAGAAAGCAGACGAGAGGGCGACAGAGGAGACGTGATGCACAGCTGAACTCAGACAGACGTGTGTACACTCATACAAATGCATCAACAGAGAAGCAGTTGTGCTCTGGTAGCTCTGCCTGTATGGTCATATTTGTGTGTTTTTACTGTGTGTGTGTGTGTGTGTGTGTGTGTGTGTGTGTGTCTGTGCATGCCTGAATGTGCGTCTAATTGTGCAGACCCTGCACAATCTTCTGACAGCCTGCACGGCGACACAGGGCCGCAAATCTGACACCTGAGAGCCCAGATGAGGGCCAAGGAGTCTGGGATGCTCTCTGAAGCCTCCTCAGGGGGGGGGAGAGGCAGGCTCTTAAGACTGCGGATCAATCTCGCTGACGCTTTCTTTCAGAGCATCGGTTAAAGAGGAAATTGATAAACAGTTTGACAACTTGAGTTGTTGCGAAATTAAGTTGACGTGTGTATCTCTCGCTACAACTACAAAATCCTGTTGTTGCTGCAGAGTGCGCACAGATTCAAGGTGATGTGGTTGAACAGGCAAGTTACTAGAAATGAATCACTGAACAACGTATTATCTGTTTGCATGCGTTTGTCAGTGTCTTCACTCAAAACCTATGAACAAGCAAATGCCCAAAGTTGCACTCCTCCCTCTATTAAAGTATAAACTGCTGCCCTGTGAGACCTGTCGACTGAACTGGAGAGATTTTCAGCAACAGCAGGCTGCTGCTGATGAGCTGTCTGGAGATTGTGACCCTGCAGTGAGGCCTGGGGGATTAGTGTGTTGCTCTAATCTGGAATCAGCCAGTGTAGAGACTTATCTGCTGTTAGGCGAACTAGCATTAGCACTGTTAACGCTCAGAGCCAGCTAGGATACACAGCTTTAATGCTGTTAGCATGCTAACAGTGTTAGATTTAGTTCACTCTCTCGAAAAGCACGTCTTCCTGATTTTTGCGTAGCCATGCTTTGCTTCGTTTTCAAATGCCGTGCTTTTAAAACCCTTTGTCCATTTGTAAATCTTCTTAGAGTGTATGTTTTCCTCCTAATAATCTGTAGTCTGGTACAAGCAGACTTCCAGCTGGGCGGGTTCATTAGATAATAGGTGTGCTGCTGCCCTACAAACACACACAACCCTAATAGACTCTGAGCTGTTCGGCTACTGTGAAGTTCAGCAGACAACAAATCAGATTAGCCACATAATCTGCCAAGGGTTTTAGTGTTTCCTTCCTCAGTGAATCTGTCACCAAGTTCATAACAGTTTCTTGTCTCTATTTATGAAGCATAAGCTCCAATAATAAACCTGCAAAAACCCCTTCTACTTCATAATGTCCCTTCCCTTTACATTTTGAAGTGACAATGAAGTGAGACTCAGATTGTTTTGAACATGTCTTATGTTTTCAACATGACTTGATGTGCTCTGCATTCGAAGTAACTTCTTAGAAACTCATGTTTAAGTCAGACACAGGTTGATGCTTGTTGTTCCTCAGTCTTGCTCAGAGAAATAATAATTCCGTCGTTTAAGCTTGCATCGTATGTTCATATTTATTGCTGTGCTTAAAAAAACAAAAAAGCAGGTGATTTTAAAGATCCTTTTGATCTTCACAAGTGATAATCGTCTTTGATGTTTTTTTCTGTGTGAGAGTAGTTTCCCCTTTTCAGCTGATTGGGAAAATATGATTAACAGAGCTGAGCTTTGTTCTGAGATGGTTGGTAAATTCCCCCCACCCACTTTCATCTGATGTTAAAAAAAAAAAAGTGTCCCAGCAGAAGTGCAGAATTGTCAGCACTCAGTCAGTCAACACAGCATGCTCACGAGGCGATCTGGTGTTTCACATGTGGAAAAAATAGCCACTCTGCTGTGTCAACAATGACAGAAAACTTCCAGGGTGTGGCTGTAACTCACCCCATGCCCTGTGACACACACACACACACACACACACACACACACACACACACACACACAATCACACACGGCTCAAAAATACTTCACCAGCCCATAACTCCCATGATTCAGCGAGCAGCGCAAGTAAATGAACAACTGAAAATAAGTGCTCCCATTAGACTCTGTGTAGACTCATTGCACAGTGTGTGAGTGCCTGTGGACACACAGACACACACACACACACACACACACACACACACACACACACACACACACACACACACACACACACACACACATTCTGACATGACTTCCACTCATCTGTCTCAGTTTACTTTCACTTGATTGATTTTCTCACCCCCTTTTTCCTTCCATCTTTGAGCTGTGTGTGTAGAACTAGGAGGAAGGTGTAGGCATCCTTTGTTACTGACCCAATCAACCTTACAGACTTTTATATTTAATTACTGCTGAGTAAGAGCAGCGCGCTGAATTATTAACAGGAAACAGGGTTTATTTTTAGAAGGCAGGCCTCTCCTCTGACACTCTCCAGTGGTTCGCTTTTAGATGATGAAACCCCTTTGCAACCTAAAACTACCTTCAGAAGTTTACTATTAAGTTTATAGAAATAAAGCTCATGGGGAAATACTTATGAGGGTAGTTGCATTTGCTGCCTCTGGCTGATTGGGTCCTCTATCACTTGCTACTTAATTGTTTTGGTTCACACAATTGCAAGTCAATTCATTTTGGTAATATCCAAGCTGAGCCAGCAGTGCAGTTGTACTCAGAACACACAAGACTTTGTTCTTGTCAAAACCGGATGAGCAAATCATTTAAATCCTCCTTTTGTTCAGGGTTGACTGATCTGGCACCCACACCTCAGGACTCAACCACCATCAAACCCCCCCCACACCCACCCCCCGCCCACCCGCTTCCCATCAGGGGCTTTTGACACACCCTTTTCATGTTATATTTCTGCCCAACAATGCCTCCGTTGTGTGTGTGTGTTTCAATTCTGTGTGGGATATTTGTGAAACTGTTGATGACTGAGTGTGTCTGTCACACAAAAGCCACACAAAAGACAAGTTCTCTCTGCTGTCACAAGGCCAGTGGGCTTCCCCACTCTTCGGCTGCACAGCACATCTCAACGTTTAGGTATGGGGAGAGAGAACAATGAAAGCTTTCCCGTCCATTCATCCAGATTGTTTTTTTTTTTGTTTTGTTTTGTTTTTTTTTTTTTGGGTTTATTGGGTTATGTTGGGGGCAGGGGAAGAGAAGATGAACTCTGATTCACCCTCAACCTGTGTATTCTTTGAGTCAGTTGCACTCGGATTCTGCTAGCCTCTGATTTGTCTTGTTAATTAGATTTACAGAGTGGCCTCTGATGAAGACAGGAAGACATTGTCAGGTCAGACTGTCCTGCAGTCAGGAATCCCCTCTCTGATAAAGCTTATATCTTACCACTTGTCAGACTTTGAATTGGGCGATCTTAACATCT